CTGAAGTTTTGACAAACTGGGATATCCCAACCGTTTATGTAATAAATCTGGTGAATCAGTAACGGGACAAGTTGTAGAAGGAAGACAAGATTTGAGTCCATGTGATTTAGCAAGGATAAGGTAATAAAGTCCGTTTGATTCACGCCTGGTATCAATGATCCGCCCCGTACTGCGTTCATGTATAAAAACATGGTCATCAAGAAATAAAACAGCGCAGTTAAGTGATTTGGCTAAGCGACTAACATCTATGAGATTAAAAGGACTATTGGGAATATAAAGGACTGAATCTAAAGGTAAGGAAGGAAGTGGGTTTGCTTGACCTATTGCAGTTGTCATGGTTTGAGACTCATTGGCCATTGTGACTTTTGGAAGAGATTGAGAATACGAAATAGTAATGAAAAGAGATTTGTTACCAGAAATATGATCTGATGCACCTGAATCAAAGACCCAAGACTCAGAGTATGAAGATTGGGAGAAACAAACCACGCTATTACCTGTTTGAACAACAGAAGCTATCTCAGAAGATGTCTGCTTACATGCTTTGTACTGAAGGAACTCAATATAATCTGCTAAAGAAACCATCCGACTATTCAAAGCATCGGTTCCCATGTCGATATGAGATGTAGTAGTAGGGTTAACTTGAAATAGTGGGAATAAGTAACTCCGGTGAAAAAACTAAAGAAAAAGCTTGAAAAACACTGTTTACAGCAGGAAAACAGAACATTGTTCTGCGCCGAAAATACTATTCTGCGCCGAAAAACATTGTTCCCGCTGGAAACACTGTAGCTCGCCGGAATCTACTTTAGCTGAGGAAAAAACTCAAAGTGGTCAGAATGAAACAAAACCAGTGAGGGTAGGATCGGAATTACCAGGCGATCCTACTGTTCAACTGGAACTTTTTCAAAATCTGGTCGGAACAGTGCTCACGCGCCGGCGCGTGGATCAGATCTCGCCGAAAATTTTTCTTTACCAAGCGCGTGAGGGCGCGTGGACGTGTGTTTTCAGGTGGAGTTGACTGGAGTTTGGTCGCCGGAGCCTGATGAGTCTTGTGGTGATGTTAGTTTTTGCACAACACTAACAGAAAGTAATTTGCTTACGGACAGCCTTCTAAGTCGCCGGAAAATTGCACGGTGAAGAGGTCTTTCTTCCCGGAAGTCGCTGGAATGATGCACAGCGACGGGTTTCTCACTAATGCTCTGATACCATATGAGAAAGTACGGGAGAAAATATGTTATTGATATTGGATAATAAATATAATATAAGAGGTCCTTATTTATAGCTATACACTACAAGGAGATATTACTCCTCTTCCAATGTGGGACAAGACTACACTATACATATCTGTAAACTAACAATCTCTATTTGACTTCCATCCCGTCTTTAATCTTAATATCTAACATTATCCAAATTTCACCGGATTTTCAATTCCCTCGGTACAAATTATGGAGCTCAAGAGTTTCAATTTCTAGATCCTCTCACAGATTTAAATCCAGTTATCCAGTGTATACCTATAAGAAACTCAACTTCTGGGTGAGTGTATACACAGCTACAGGTATTACTATAAACAACCTTTGAGAGACTGTTTCAAATTATTTTTAGATTTGACATGTATATTTTAATTCTAATCACCAAATAAATACGTTGGCATGTCTTAAGAGTAAATTTATCACAGACAGTGTCATTATAAAACATGAATAGAAGATACAATCAGCTATCAAAAACCATAACAAGTAATTGGACGCTAAATTTTGAATCAGTATGAAAAAATATTTACATGCAAATGTGTGAAGTTTCCTAGAAAAATTAAAATTACAAGCATTCATATAAAGCAAGAGAGAAACTTGCAAAGAAGTAAAGTATGAAACATCATGTTTATCTGGTATAACAGAGGTACTCTGCCACAGGTTCAGCAATGCATCAGCTAAATTCCAGATTCCTCCAATAGCTTGAGGATACTGTGTTCGGGCGCACTGATTGATGGAAGAATAACACGATTCATGGGTGGTCTAGGTCTTGTTCCAGCCTCAGGCTCTGCAGTTGTTCCTTCCTGCATAACTGGAATATCTGCCCTTCTTCTCACTGCAGACACTCGCTCCTTCCATATTCTTCCATCCTGTGAGTGACACAACGTGTAAGTTCCCAGGTCCTAAGAAGTAGATATACAGGTATAGAAAGGGGCTAGATAGACAACGCAACTGTATTATTTCTTGAGAAATACAAAGTAATTATGTTGTTCTCTCAAACAAGATAAATTAAATGCTTCATTGGTTTTGACAAACCATACCACTATATCCAACAGTTGAGCATTGACATTATATAACCAACAGAGGAAGAAAACAAGCAAAGCATATAGATGGCAACTGGCGTATGATTTTCTAATCACATTATCCTTCACTCAAAAGTGACCAATTAAGGTCTCATGACTCTGCCAACTCTGGAACCATTTGTGTACACTATCGAGAAAAGTATTAGTCTTTCGTACAGCAATTGCAGCAAACCCCTTTCTTTCCTTATACATTTTTTTAATTGTTATTCTTTCCTCATACGGAAGGGGAGCCTTGGCGTAACTGGTAAAGTTGTTACCATGGGACCAGAGAAGGTCACGGGTTCAAGCCGTGGAAACAGCCTCTTCTGAAATGCAGGGTAAGACTACGAACAATAGACCCTTTTCCAGCCCTTCCTCGGGCCCCCACGCATAGCAGGAGCTCAGTGCACTGGGCTGCCCTTTTATTTTTCTTCCTTTCCTCATACGAAGAGGAAAAAGAAGGTTGTGTATGGTCAACTTAAGATTAAGTGAGGAGCCTTGGCGAAGGAAAAAACTTAGGAGTTGGGGGAGAAGTTGTTAGCTATGGGGGTCTGCAGTAGTGGGAACGTGAGTGGTATATGGACCACGACAGCAAATTGCATTAGAGAAGCTAAAGGTTGAGGAGGTCGAGTGGATCATGCGTAAAATGAGCAGGGGAAGAGCAAGCGGGCCAGACGAAATTCCGGTGGAATTTTGGAAGAACGCAAGCAGGGCAGTCTTGGAGTGGCTTATTAGGCTGTTTAATGTCATTTTTAGGACGAAGAAGATGCCCGAAGAATGGAGGTGGAGTACAATGACTCTGTTGTACAAGAACAAGGGTGATATCCAGAATTGCAATAACTATAGGGTATCAAGCTGCTAAGCCACACTATGAAAGTTTTGAAGAGGGTGGTGGAAGTAGGGTGAGGAGGAGCGTGTCTATTTTCAAGAATCAGTTCGGATTCATGCCGGGGCGATCGACCACGGAAGCCATTCATCTTGTAAGAAGATTAACGGAGCAGTATAGGGAGAGGAAGAGGTACTTACATATGGTGTTCATTGACCTAGAAAAAGCATACGATAAAGTCCCAATGAAGGTTCAATCGAGATGTTTGGAGGCTAGAGGGTTCCTGTAACTTACACTAGAGTGATTAAGGACATGTATGATGGAACTAAGACCTGGGTGAGGACAGTGGGAGGAGACTCGACACTTCCCAATTATGAGACTAGTACAGATGCTTAATGAAAAGAAAACTGGTAACAAATTTTTGTACAGGAAAAAGAGAAAAAGAGAAAAACAGCAAAGAGGCGTTACAACTGGAAATTGTGTGACTGAGTCGATGTAAAGTATGAAACAAGAGAAAACAATGTCAATTGCAATGTTGATTATAAATATCAGTTTGTCTTGTTCAGATGGACGGAAAAAAGAAATTAATGAAGCGAGGGGAATGGAAGACAGAGAAGGGTGCAAAGAAGTTGACAACATCTTTTCCTTGCTTTTCATTCTTAGATTTCTTAAGTTCTTATTTTGTCATTACTCCCCAACCCAAAAGGAAAAAGTGCACGAAGCATTCATTCTCTAGGAAAGATTTGTCAGTGAAGTCCAATAAACAGAATACTGTAACCAATCACAATGAATCATGTGAACTTTTGGAAAACCTACAAATTATGATGGTTAATTTATGTTTTGCAGCTAACAAAAATCTTAACATCCGAATTAGATGAAAATGAAAATGATATACAAAGAACGTCCAAAAATTATCAACAGCTACTGGAAATGGTTCAGCAGCTTGCAGCTACAAAGAAACAAACAATGTCAAGAGCTGATTCTTTCATGAGCCATTGTGTCTCTCCTTACAAGATAGTTAACTCCGACTCATGTAAGAACAGTGGTGACTCTAAAGCTGACACTAGGACTAAGAAGGACTATCTTGCAGGCTACTGGGTAATCACCAAATTAGACAGTAAAAAAGATTTTTGACTTAATGCAGTCAAATGACGGGCGTCTATAACTACATCATACTTCACATGTCCGTAGATTGAAAAACCAGCGGACTATAAAATTTGCCAGATTTTGGAGCTCACCTCTTAAACCTTCATATTTGCACATAGAGTCCTTTATTCCACATACAGAAACTTACTGTAGAAGAAACTTAATGTGGAAAGAGGCGATGAGTCACCTCTATCACAACACCGGCAATCAAATACACATGCTTGATAGGGAAAACAACAGCAAATTTACATATCTAGATATCTACCACAACTTCATGATACAAAAGAACAGCAAACCTACATTCAGTATTGAGGGTTCTGGTATTGGACATTGAATTGGCCGATCATTGTGTAGAGGCTCAGTCGGGTGTTCAACTGGTTTGAACTCAACTGCAATTTCAATACCATGAGGTGTGGTAGAGGGAGCTCCAGCTATCGTAGCAGCACCTGTTGTTTCTGTATTTGGAGGCAACACTTCTGTTTCACCCTGCATTTTCATATTGAAAAGAAATTATTACAAATAAAAACCAGATGATATAGTTTGGACTGTAATAAGTAAGCATCAGATACAATTGATTTAAGCAGTCAAATCTCTCTGAAAATTAAAATACAAACAATATGGTTTATTTAATGATTACGAATCCTAAGACAGAAATGGAAGCAGCAAAACATAATTTCATAGTCAAAGTCAAATCAAACTCAATTTGGAGAGTAAAGAACTAGTCAACCCCACATCTCAAAAGGTCCTAATCAAATTACAAAAATTCCAAAAGCAAAAATATGAAAATCCACACCAAAACTAAAGATTAACATACAGAAAGGAGATAAAGAAACAATTCTTGATGCCCAGATCAAGAAACAAGTCAATTAACATAAAGCTAACAACTTTACCAAGAATTGACTGAATAAAAACCAGAGAAAGGAGTAGCAAGAGAGAGGGATAGAGAAGCTCACAAGGGCACTTTGAGCTCGACGATGCCCATTTCTGCTGACAGAAAATCTTGAAAATATTCCCACCATTATTAGGCTCTTTACTATCAGAACAAAACTTCACCCAAAAGGGTGTGTTTTGATCTTGTCTTTTTTTTTTCTTTTCACAAAGCAGTTCAGCTTATTTTTCTAGAAAATAGTCAGAGAAACAAGGAATAGAGAGTTGATAAGATTGCTTGTATTGATGGGTTTTGTCTTGATTCGACTTGTCTCCTGAGAAAATACTGCTCTATGTACTACAGAAAGGGTGTGAAGCGTGAACCTTACATTGTGAAGTTTAAGATATAATAATTCAAATAATAATTAAACTTTAAGTAAATTAATAAATTTAAATTTCTGTAAAATATAAAATTTATGTACTAATTGATATAACCATCAAGGGGCGGATCTATGGGCATGTGAACTCATGATACTTTCGTCAAACTAGGTATTTTATGTATATATTTTTTAGAATTGATCTACCATTATCTATTGAAACTCATGCTCCATATCAGTTGAATAATACACTTGGTTCAATACTTTAGTATTATTTAGTCAAAAAAATAAGGATGAATTTTCACTTTATATTTTTTCTCCTTTTTTTCTTTTATGGTACACCTATGTTCTAGAAATTTTAGAACTCCCTATAATAAACCATCTATATTTGTGTACCAATTAATGAAAAACCAGCTCAATAGTTGAATCCTAAATTTGCCCCCTAATTTATGCGCTTCCATTTCGAACTGGAATTTTCCTAAGATAAATTTATCTTTTTGAATTAAACAGTTGGTGTTGAATTTTTTAAAAGAAATATCATGTAAATTGAATAGAGGAAATAGTACTTAATATTTATTTGGGAAGTTGAAACTTGAAAGTGGTGGAATTGAAAGCTTGCCAATAAGCACAAAGGGACGGTTTGTCGAGCATCATTGATTAAACAAAAAGGCCAAAAAGTAAAAGAACAAATTCAATTGGTTGAAGGGGAAGCAAAGTACTTAAATTAGTATTACAGCCAGTAAGTGCCATGTGATTGTGTTTTTCTTCGTTGGCAGTGGGTATTATATACTTTTGGGAGTTAGATATGCAATCTATTCTCTATTCTTGCTCTCTCCAGCCCCACTGGTTTCTTGTTTAGAAAACAATAAACGACTTTTCTGCTGTATTCCTGGTGCAACAAGTGCCACTTCTAAAATTAAAAATTCCTAGATTTTCGGAATATTTTCTTATTATATGGGAGTATAATTTTCTAAAACTCTTCATGATCGTTCAGTGTATGAATTAACCATGTTGAGATTATATTATACCGTACATCATGCATGGCGGCTCAAGCACATATATATGACATAAAGTCAAAGTTTAATGTGAGGTCTAAATTTAAAAAAAAAAATTAAAGTATATATTTTTATTTGAAATTTATCCTTCTAACTTTTTGAGATGCAAAATTGTTAATAATTTTTTTTTATAATCGATCTCCTCTAATAATTCCTTTTCAATTGATAATATAGCCAATTCATTTAATCTTTGTTGAGACACTATTTATTTTAGATAAGATTCTATCAATTGTAATGTTGAAAAACTTCTTTCCGCTGAGACAACTGTTATATGAACTGTTAATATTATTATAAGCAATATCAACATTTGAAAAAGAATCCAGTCTTTTCATTTGATTGAGTATATCGATTAAAGTATTAACTTCTACTTGTACGTTGGGAAAACTATCCATCTACCCAGTTTTAAGTAAGTCAAATGGCTACTTGATTTACATTTCTAAAAAAAATTCTTTCTTTTATATAGAAAACTTTACTTTTGTATTAAAAGTACAAAATATTATTTTTTACAATATCTTTAAACCTATTATTTCAATAAAAATAAAAATGGAGCCTCCCGAATTTGGAGACCTAAGGCTTACTAGTGATACCATTAAAGTCGGCACTGACACCATGCATGGGCAATAATGCTTGATTATCACACAATAAATAATATCATAGAGATTGTTATACATTAAATAATACTACATAAATTTTTATGTACGACCTGCTCAAGAATATATATTTTTATTTAAGTATTGTTATCCTGGGGTTATTAATACATTGCACTCCCTTTTACTTGAATTATATTGAAAAACAAATGTTGTACTAGTTATGTGTAATTTTATCAGGGTTGTTCTTTCTTCTACATAAAATCAAATTGCAGACTCCAAATAATCTATTTTAGTCGTTAATAAAATTTTGAATCCTAGTAAAATAGACATGGTTCTTGAATTATTGGAGATAGTAGGATACAAAGCTTGTATAGTTGACCTCGTCTTTTTAGGGTTGAAGTGCAAGTTAATCTCATTTTTTTCTTTAGGGGTGTACATGGGACAGAGTTGGTTCGATTTTTATCAAAATCAAACCAAATCAACTATTTCAGTTTGGATTGCTTCGGTTTAGTCGGATTTTTCGGATTTTCGGATTTTTTGTTACTTAAATATTATTTCAATCTTACTTTGTTAAATATTTGATAAGTAAATATATATTTAGTAAAAATATAAAAAATTGACAAACATATTATCGATTAAAATATTCTTATGGGAAAATTCTATTAGTAACACATAATAGTTGATTTTTTTAGTCGTCTGACAAGAATTTTTCGTTGATGTACACTTTCAGGTTAACCGAATTTAGTAATTAAAAATAAAAATCAATATGATACCTAAATATTAATAATCACTTCACATTCGAAAAAGATAGAAGAATTTAATAGATCTTAACATATGATATGAATATGGAAGAACAAAGAGATATGCGCATTTCAGTAACACTTGATAAGAAAGTGATCATACAATCTATTATTTAAGGTCAATAAATATGGAGCACTTCATATTCTATTAAAATTTATATCTCGCAAGAGAATCCCAAATATTTCTAGACATTATTTAAAGAAAATTCTATATAAAATCTTAAAATTATATATAAAAATTATATATTTATATATTGGGTTGGTTCGAATTTTTTTACTCAATACCAAATCAAGTCGAACTTTTTAATCGATTTGATTTGACTTTTGGTTTGGTGCGATTTTTCGATTGGGTACACCCCTACTTTTCTTTATAAATATCTCGACTCTTCAACCTTAAGCATTGCATGTGTGAGTTTTCCCCATACAACCCAATTATGATTATCATAAAGTGAGTTGACTTCGAATTTAAAAATTATTTTAAATTTGTTTTGAGAGAAAATGGATTTTATCTCATTAAATAAAACTACAGTTGTTCTATAGTATTACAACCCATTTTGATGTCTCGAAGGATATTTTTGTTACCAAACTTAGCTATTAACATCCTACAAGCATTGTCTATTACAAGCACAGCAAAAAAAAATTTAATCTTTTTCCGCTATTATCCCCTGGTCACAACAAGACTGAGCCCGAAATCAAAGTGTGGTCTTGACTCAAAGTACAAAAATAGATGAAAAAACCAACTGATAACCAATTTATATATAACGCATGTGTTGAATGCGCTATACCTTAACGGCACGCATGCAACCCATATGCTATATTTAAATTTTAAAATCTATATATGAAGTTGAAAAGACAGTTAGGTATAGTGCATTCCATATATGTGCTATACCTATATTAAAAAAGCCCAGTCGTCTTCTTCGCGGACAGAATCGAAAAAACAGCCCTCCCTTTTTTAAAACTTAAACCTCAATTGGAGCCCACCCATCCCCCAAAAATCGTGTCCCCTCTGTATTTTAGCGAGCTAACACCGGATCCAAGGTGTTGTCGTATAGTGGATCTCTTCTATTGCTCGTTTCGGCTCCTAAATCCTCGATTTTTCACAATTCAAAAAATTATAAATCGAGGTATTCCATAATGTCATTTTTGGAACGAAGAAGATGCGCGAAGAGTGGAGGTGGAGCACGATGGTTCCTGTATACAAGAACAAAGGTGATATCCAAAAATTGCAATAACTATCGGGGTATCAATCTGCTTAGCCATACTATGAAAGTCTGGGAGAGAGTGGTAGAGTTAAGGGTGAGGAGGAGTGTGTCTATTTTCGAGAACCAGTTTGGATTTATGCCGGGGCGTTCGACTACAGAAGCCATCCACCTTGTTAGGATATTGATGGAGCAGTATAGGGAGAGAAAAAAGGACTTACATATGGTGTTCATCGACTTAGAAAAGGCGTACGATAAAGTTTCGAGGGAGATTTTGTGGAGATGTTTGGAGGCTAGAGGTGTACCTGTTGCCTACGTTAGGTTGATTAAGGACATGTATGATGGAGTAAAGATCCGAGTGAGGATGGTAGGTGGGAACTCAGGCCATTTTTCGGTTATGATGGGGTTGCATCAAGGGTCGGCACTCAGCCCTTTTTTGTTTGCTCTAGTGATGGACGTACTGACGCGCCACATTCAATGAGAGGTGTCGTGGTGCATGCTATTTGCAGATGATATTATATTGATTGACGAGACGCGAGATGGTGTGAACGTGCAATTAGAGGTATGGAGGCATACCCTGGAATCTAAAGGTTTCAAGTTGAGCAGGACCAAGACAGAATACTTGGAGTGTAAGTTCAGTGGCGAGACTCAGGGAGGGGAAGGGGAGGTAAGGCTGGACTCGCAGGTCATCCCTGGGAGAGAGATTTTTAAGTACCTTGGGTCTATTATTCAGAGGGGTGGGAGATTGATGAAGATGCCACACATCGTATTTGAGCTGGATGGATAAAATGGAGACTCGCTTCCATTGTTTTGTATGATAAGAAGGTGCCACCAAAACTTAAGGGTAAGTTTTATAGAGTGGTGGTGAGATCAACAGTGTTGTATGGGGCGGAGTGTTAGCCAGTCAAGATCGCTCATGTCCAGAAGATGAAGGTAGCAGAGATGAGGATGTTGAGATGGATGTGCGGGCACACTGATGGTAGGCTATAATTACGTATTTTAGTCACTTATTGCACTCTAATTCACTGCACTTTACTTGTTTTGAGCTTTAATTGATAGTATTTTGCACTTATTGCATATTTTATGCCCTGTAAGAATGATTCCGAGTTATGTAGATGTTGTGGAACTAATTCGAGCTATTTGGAGCTTTGAAGTCTGAGTAAAAGCCCAAAGTACTAAGCCAGAATCGTGTACGGGGGTCGAGGATCATTTCTGGACGTCAAAAATCAAGGAAGAAGCAACATCTGAAGAAATGCACTAGTGCGACGCACTGGGCACCGAAACAATGTATTTTTGTGTTAGGAATTGACAAAGTTCATAGGCTGGGTTTATGTGGCCTGACAAGAAAACGC